TCAATTTGACTTCATATTTGAGGACAGCGAGATGTCACTCTTTGTGTCTCTTCAGCCAGAAGTGAGAGTAGGAAGAACTTACTTGGAGATTCTGTTAATTTATTGACAGTTCATTGGCTGAGTGTTAGAGGACTTTGCCCTGCCAGTCTTAGCTCAGTAAAGGAAGCTTCTGACAGTAGCAATGGTATCGACAGGCGTCCAGCAGAACCCAAACTTTTAGCAAATTTAGCAGGGACTAATGAAAGTATTTAGAAAATTAGGCAGGCTAGATGGGCAGGGGGCTTCTTATCTGCTGTCACATTCTATGTTTCAAATTGTGTGACAGCTTACACTGGGGGGGGCGGGGGATGGGACTGCAAGGTCACTCCTTGTACCATAGCCACTACTGCACTTCCTTACTAGATACATTATTGTTATGGAGACATTTGTGACACAGTAAGAACAGGGGTTTATTCACAAAACTCTTCTAATGCTTCATAATGTTTCTTTTACCATAATGATAATGAAATAAAACTAAAAAATCCCCTTTACAGCTGGCTGAGAAGTATGGCTCGGTGTACACCATCTATTTTGGATCCCGGCCAGTTATTATTCTTTCTGGCTACCAAACTATTAAAGAAGCCCTTATAGACCAAGCCGATGATTTTAGTGGCCGAGGACAGCTGCCGACAGTTGACAGAGTCTTCAAAGGACATGGTGAGTAATTTCCAACGCGTTTCTGTGTGAAACACTAACATTCCAATTTGCTATTTAAGTGCTTATAATTGTAACTAAAATAATTATTTCTTCCCCTTATAAATATCTGAGTCTCATTGCATGTGTACATCTAGAACCTAAACCTCTTTTTCTCAGAAAAGGCTGTGTTTACATTGAAAAGCATGCAGGGACTGGCAATACAGATCAGAACAACTAAATTATGCTGTAGTTGTTCTGGTGACTATAGTGTCTATTTACGTAAATTGCGCTTTTTTTTTGTTTCACATCAGACAGTAGGAATAGCAGGCCGACGTTTAGGTAGGTTCATGGTAGCTTTAAAATGTCCTAGTTAATTCTGTTTGACCTGTTTTCAAGGGATATCACAATGTAAAATAATTTAATTAATTGTAAACAGATTAAGAAAAACAAACAAGGATTTAGAATAAAGAGAAACTATGGCAGCACATTCTAAGCCTCACCCCTGCTCAAATAAACTGAATAATGATAAATGCACAGTTTGTGGCTTTATTTGTTGTACACACACTCCTGCCAACATAATGCCTGCCAATAGCACATGGAATAAAAAATGAAAGCAAACTCTTTTAGCTACATTTGCAAGAACAATGAATACATAGTTACATAGCTGAACAGAGACTTGTGTCCATCAAGTTCAGCCTTACTCACATTTGTTTTTTGCTGTTGATCCAAAAGAAGGAAAAATAAAAACAGTTTGAAGCACTTCCAATTTTGCAACAAGATAGGAAAAAAATTCCTCCTTGACCCCAGAATGGCAGCAGATTTATCCTTGGATCAAGCAGTTATTACCCTATATCATAGGCGTGCACAGCCTATTGTATAAGGGTGTGCACCCTAAAGCACAAACACACACGCTGCGTATATATATAAACATCCAAACTCTGGCACTCTGCCCAAAAATGTTGAAAAGTTGTAAACACCAAGGTGCTTCTCTGTATCAATATAGAAAAAGCAAAAAACGAGAGCACTCACTGGATTTAACAAAATTGCTTATATTAAATAGTGAACATACCAATCAACGTTTCGACCGTCTCGCGGTCTTTATCATCAATATATACCTGTGAATCTTATAAACTTACCCAATGATCAAAGTGTACCCCTTCCGATTCTAACCGACCTGTGTTAGACGCCCACTGGTGCCCGCCATTACGTGCGTGATGACGTCATGTCATGTGATCTAAACAACCACGTTGCCTAGTAACAATCTCAACGTCAATGAAGTGAAAGTGAAAGTAACAATCTCAACGTCAATGAAGTGAAAGTACTTTCACTTCATTGACGGTGAGATTGTTACTAGGCAACGTGGTTGTTTAGATCACATGACATGATGTCATCACGCACGTAATGGCGGGCGCCAGTGGTCGTCTAACACAGGGCGGTTAGAATCGGAAGGGGTACACTTTGATCATTGGGTAAGTTTATAAGATTCACAGGTATATATTGATGATAAAGACCGCGAGACGGTCGAAACGTTGATTGGTATGTTCACTATTTAATATAAGCAATTTTGTTAAATCCAGTGAGTGCTCTCGTTTTTTGCTTTTTATATATATATATATATATATATATATATATACATATATATATATAAACATATACATACACACACACACATATACTGCTGTGTTTGTATGTGAGGGTGCTGTGTGTGTGTGTAGGTGCTGTGTGTAAGGGCGCTGTGTGTGAGGGTGCTGTGTGTGTGCGCTGTTTTTATGTGTGTAGGGGCAGTGTGTGTGTGTAGGCGCTGTGTGTGTATGAAGGTGCTGTGTGTGTGCAGGCACTGTGTGTGTGTGAAGGTGCTGTGTGTGTGAGGTTACTGTGTGTGTAAGGGCGCTGTATGTGTGTGTAAGAGTGCTGTATGTGTGTGTAAGGGTGATGTATGTGTGTGTAAGGGTGATGTTAGTGTGTGTGTGTATATGTAAGGGTGGTGTGTGTGTAAGGGTGCTGTTACCGTGTGCTGTGTGTGTGTATATGTAAGGGTGTGTGTAAGGGGGCTGTTAATGTGTGTGCTGTGTGTGTAAGGGTACTATTAGTGTGTGCTGTGTGTGTGTATGTGTAAGGGTGCTGTTAGTGTGAGGGTGATGTATGTGTGCTGTTTGTGTGTAATGTGTGGGGTGGGGGGGCCGTTTAGTTAATATCCCCCCTCCCTTCTTACCTTATGTAGGGAGGGGGGGCTGTGCTGCTGCCATCCCTGGTGGTCCAGTGGAGAGTGAACTCTAGCCCCACAGGGGTCTGAGGGCTGCCGCGGTAACTACGGTAACGCTCCGACCTTGCGAGAGGAACCCGGAGGAGCTGCTGGCAAGAGCTCCCCAGGTCCTCTCCTGCCTCCCTCCCTGCCTGTGGTTTGATCTCCCTCATGGGCCCACGGAGGGAG